GCGTGACGGTCGGGCAGGCCTAGCTGTCGCCGCGCACGGCCAGCCGCGGGGGCTGCCCCTCGGCCTCCGAACCGAGCCTGCTGCCTGAATCCAGGTGAACACAAGGAGCGCAAGCAGCATTTAGTGACAAAACCGTGGGAATTGTAGCTTTGCCAAAATGATACCGTGTTCAGCTTTGTTCTGTCTGTTTTTGTTTCCTTGCCGCGGGGGCTGCCCCTCGGCCTCCGAACCGAGCCTGCTGCCTGAATCCAGGTGAACACAAGGAGCGCAAGCAGCATTTAGTGACAAAACCGTGGGAATTGTAGCTTTGCCAAAATGATACCGTGTTCAGCTTTGTTCTGTCTGTTTTTGTTTCCTTGCCATTAGCTTAAGGAGAGCACAAGGAGGATGAGTCATCCGAGCTAAACAACCAAGTCGGATCCGGATCCTGTCGTGGGGCTGCGTGTGCTCCAGGACGAGCTGGTGGTGCAGGGCGATGTTTGGCTGGCTTTCCGAGCTGAAACAGTTCTTTGGACTTAAACAGTTCTCGGATCCGCGTGCAATAGAAAAATATTTACATAATTTACAAAAACATTTATTTCACAGTGTTTACAACAATATTTGTTTTACTAAGCTTCTTAAAGTTTTAACACTTACTGTATTTTATCTCATTCTTCGCGTAGCCAACACTTAGCTTCACAACAGGTAGTTGCTTTGCTTATCAGGCAGGCCCTGTTTTGTCAGTAATGACTGTACAACGCCGCCGCTGCTGGCGCCCATGAGGTACCGCACGCTGCAAGCCCAGGCTGTCGGTTGTGCAGAGCCCGCAAGCAGGCTGCCTATCAGGCAGGTGTGAAGGGGGCCAGGAGAACGCCTTCCTTATCCGTCAGCCTCACTCCCCAAACTGCCCCTTGCAGCAGGCCTGCTCGTAGCAAGATATTTTTACGTCATAACGTATGACATGTGTCATACAATCGGAGGAGGAACTCGGCAGATTCAGTTACGGTGAAACCGTTACCGTTGACACGGATGCACCCTGTTTCAGAGCCCAAACCAGGCCCGGGTGTCATAAACGTCAGTTTCAAGGGACATTTAACTATACCATTTCTAATAGGAAAATAAAGTGAATGCGTTGTAACAAATCCAGACCTCGTAAGAGTTTTCTTAAAATTTATCAGCTACTGGAAGAGCTGAAGTTCGAGATTAACTCGGTTTAAACAAGAGCAGTATCATTGACTTCAGGGAAATGGCAGCAGTTTACTGCAGATTTACGTATTATTTCAGATAATGCCGATTCTAAATCTAGCTGGTGTGTTTCACTGAGGGTCTATCCAGTAAGCACTCTGCCCTAGCTGGCAACTAACATATTTTCACATCCACAGTGTGCAATAAAAGAAAGCTGTATCTGCTACTGAGCATGGATATTGTCTGTTTGAATTGCTTCAGGCTTTCACGATATGTCATCGTTGAAGTACAATCTGGAGCTCGGACGGGAGTGATATTAAGTAGTTTTGCAACATCTGGCTGAAAGGCAGCGGGCTCGCACACAGCACGTACTCCAACAAATCGGAATCAATGGATAATTACTTCTCTATTTTCTTTTGTGGGCAGAAGGAGAAAATATACCAGCTACCAGTGTATTACAGGAAGAAACAAATTGACTATTGGAGTATGAAAAAACTTAGCGAACAAAAATTTGGGCATATATCATTCTTAAACTATTCCTCGAAATGAAAAAAATCCCCATCCTCTATTAGAATTGTATGAGAGAGGGTAAAAGGTAGTGAGGGCAAGAAGAGAGAAGGAAAGTAGTCCTTGAAATATAAGCTTCTTGTAGGTTGTAGCTTTTAAAAATAATATTGCTTGCATTATTCTTTCAAGGGGTTTAATTCCCATAAAAGAACATACATGCCATAAACCAATTTGGAATTGCAGAACCCTAGGAATTTTGTTTGCTTGTTTATAACAAGAATTTTTATGCTTTCCCTTCATTTACCTGGCAGCAAAGGTAAAAGAGAAAGGAGAGGTGTCTAGTGATGTCTGACAGTACTGGGAATACGCCAACGCGTTGCATGGAGACGTTTGCATTGCTTGCTTCTACGGCCAGGGACTAAAAGCGCCTAGCGTATGCCACGATTATGACCAAATTGGAGTTGTTGCATACACAGTGCGAGGTCCCCGCCGCATCCCTGGAAGAAAGCGGTCTTGTGCTCCGTGCTGCAGGCGGTGCCGTGAGGGCGCGCTGTGCTGGGCGTGCGCGGCCCTTACGCCGACGGCCCCGTGCGCTCGGGAGCCTGAGGCCAGACACGTCGCTGTGCGAGTTGTAGATGTGCTATGAATAAGACAGGCACGAGGACACTCAGCAAGACCGAGGTAGTGACATCTGGTGTGGCCACAGCTTTGGTGTTGGCAGTTTCTGGGTGACCTACGCAGTTTGGTGGCATTTTGTACATCTTAGTCTTGGACTTGGAAGCGTAAATCCTGACCACGTTTCTCTTTGGGTGCATACGTGCTACTTGCAGCTCTTATCCTCAAGCCCTGTGGTTATAAGCGCTATGTGAGACAAAAGGAGGGGAATGAGAAACCAAAGGTTTCATACCTACCCTCTCTTTTCCTTCTCTTCCCATTTCAAGTTGATATGCGGGATATGCTGAATAGTGAAAATGGGGGAGAAAACAGCGCTGTCCCTGTCCTATGTTCCCCTTTCCTCCCACTCCAGCTTGTCACACGTTTTGTAACAGTATTTCTGCGGGAAACGGTGAAGCTCGCCTGCTGTAGGATGTCGTCATCGGCCCGTAAGTCATCCTTTGCCTCCGTGTATGTCAGCACAGGCTGATTTGTAGAGTTGTGCCAGGGGTTTGCAGAGGAAGAGAAGCCTCTGGAGGATAGTCCTGGAGGACAGTAAGCTTTCAGGCAGCTCCTTTAAGTGGTGATGCTGTTAAAAAGGCCGGGACCAAATGCTGTTGTGAAACTGAAGTTCAGATAAGACCTAGCAGCAGTAGTTTCCCATCTCCATGGGACATATAACCCTGTTTCTACTGTAACTGCGATACAGGTACGTTATGGATAGAAATAAAATAAATAAAATTTAAGCCTCAATAGAATAATAATCACTTGCTCTGAAAAACAAGCCTTCGCCGTAGTTGTCTTAGATTAAAATATTCCTTCAGGTGTATGACATGATCCCACACTGTTTTGGTTCCTGCCAGTCTGTCTTCTGTATGTCACGTCGTTTTGTCCGGTTCCCGTACTTTCTGGGGCCGCAGGCGGTTCTCTGCCGCGTGAAGAGGAGGTGGCCCACGTGGCCCTGGGCTTCAGACACGGCCGGATGCGGCGGGCGGTTTTCCTGACGGAGCGCTCCGCTTTCCCTGGGAAGCACGGCTGCAGCGGTGGGATGGGTCCCCAGGGTGCTGCTTTCCCAAGCTGTTTTCCAGGGTCCCGTCCCCATCTGCTGGGTCTGGGTCTGCCCTGAGCTGGCATCAGGCTCTGAGGGTGCTGAGATGCTGCTGGGGAGGGGAGTCTTGAGGGAAAAACCTGCAGCCTCTGGGTTGCTTTTGGTACAAGCCATGATTACGTGGATGTGCTAGCTGGTACTTTGATGAAGGAGGTGCCTTTTTGATTCATGACTCCCGTCCTCTCTCATGAATGGTGGCAGAAAAGGTCAGTTTGCAGTTTTTATTACCGTCTGGCCCACCTCCACGGAGCCAGTGACAAGTAAGTAGAAGATCTTAGCAGAATTGTGTCGTTTGACTTTTATGTTATTTGGGAGCTAGTTTAAGAACCAGTCAAGAAAATATATTCTTGAAATGAGATGAAGAGCTGAGATCTGTGCCAGAAAGTTATTCCTAAGCAACTTTCCTACCCAGACACACACAGAAAACGCCTTGGCCTGATGCGCAGACTGACTGAGGTTGCTCCTGCCCCAAACTATTTCTGTTTCACACAAAAGCAGAAGGAGAGGCAAGGAGACAATTGTACCACTCAGGTGGAAAGTACGCAAGGGCCGGGAGTTTCCCGTTAGTTCGTTGCTAGCCTATGCGCCACGGTCTGTCGTGCAGACCGGCTGCAACGGCCCTGCCTTTTTCCCGGCCTCTCCGCTGCTCTTCAACACAACAACCAGCATCGCCGTCCCCATCACAACCCTCTCACACCTCGCCCTGAGCGTACTTTTCTTAAGCTCTGTCCTTAACGCAATGCCGCAGCTCAATCCCGCTAGCTGTCTCTGCAAATCTCCCAAAGAAATCAGCTTCCTTGGTCCCACGGTCCGTGCCCTCAACCAGGCCCAGCCGCAGCGTTCGACTTTCTTTCCTGCTTCTCCTTTTCTCTCCTCCACCAGGAGCCTTTTGCACCTCCTCTTTCCTGGTACCTTTTTGATTTCCCCACGCCTGGGAGTGCAGTCCCCGTCTTCCTCGGTTTCTTCTCTCCAGTGACGCCTCTTTCCGCGCGGCGCTCATCTCTCCCCTGTGTTTATTCCTCCCTTGAGAGAGCGCTCTGAGATTCACAACCTCTCGCATTTTGCTAACTTGAAGAGGGGCGGAAGGGAAAAATTCCTGGCACAACCTGGACATAACGGCTCAAGCTTCATTACTTGGCTGCGCTGTCTCCTTTTTTGTGTACTCGTTGCCTGTTCAATTTCTTCTGAGTGGTTAGGGAATGGCGTCTTTCAGGAAAGCACATACCATTCGGTTGTTTCCATGTTAGCAACAGAGGACAGACATTGTTATAATAAAACCCTACTCTTATACTTGGTAAATGTCCTAAGACCATTAATCAACGAATAAGTACAGCGCTATTCAGGTCGCAGTGTTCCAGTAATTCATAATTAGTCTTAAGTGGTTAAAGCTGCCTGATCTTCCTTGTAAAAATGAGATGAAGAGCTCTCTTGCCAACCATCACATTAGGAAGGCGGCCCTGGGCCCTGAGCGGAGGGCAAGTCAGGGGTTCCTGGAGGAACAACCTTGTCATTTGATGGTGGGAGGTCATTTGTTGAGGCAGTTGTGCCCCTAGCACTGTGAAACGGTTGTCAGCAGTGCACACTCAGAGTCTGCCTTAGCATTTTTTTCCTTTAAGCACTGAAATACCTTTGTGTGACGTATCTCTACCTGAATTCAAATGGGGAATAATACCGCCTCAGACACGATTCCCTTTTGATGTCATTTGATCTTTTTTTAGAGTGGGAGTATTACCAGGACCATGATGAAAAGTCTTAATAAAATAAATGACCTGATGAGTAATGCATCTCGCCATCCAGAAGAGCCAAAATTAGCGTGCTGTCCAGCCAGGCAGGGACAGGAGGTAAGAGGAGGCTACCTCCAAAGGCACTGGATTCAGTTTTAAAAGTCAAATGAGTGTCCTGCTCTGCACGCGCAGATCTGCTCTCATAATAAGGGCTCTCAAGGAGAGAGGAGGATGAGCGTGGCGGAGACGGCCGTCTTACTGGCGCGCTGGCCCCCCGGCTCCTTCGGGGAGTGCTTAGTCCACCTTGGGCGGTGACGTGAGAGGCGCCTGCCCTTCCTTCTCCCTCCAAAACTCCGGCTGCGGTTGTTGAGCCGTCCAGGTGCACAGAAAACGAGCTATTGGCCTGTCTCTTTTTGTGGCATTACTTTGTCACCTGAAGACACCGGGCGGCTCCACCCGCTCCACCCAAATCTAGCTAAGTGCAGGAGCGGAGACGAGTTTAAAGTTAGGTTTTAAGTAGTTTTGAAGCTAGGCATGTCTTTGATGTTCCCCGCTGGACGAGGGGGCTGCCTTCTCAGGGCCGCAGCTTGACGGCGGTGCAGGAGAGTGGGGTAGCTGCAGCTCTCCGGTAACGGGACGTACGAAAACTAATGACGGATGGTGCTTCAGGATATGTCTGCAGTTACAGGCTCAGATCCAGCTCAGGTCGTAGGCTTCCACTGCCCATCGAGGCTCCCAGCCACCTCTTAATTTCCTGGGTAAGAACCTGATCAGGCTCAGAGACATAAATCAAGGGAGGTAACACAAATGCAGCTCTGTGTCTGTAAAATCTGTATTTTTGTTTTTGCAAAAGAATGCCAGATCAGAGTACATAACACACAGGCTGTGTGTGTATAAACAGAACAGTTTATATGTCAAAAACACAGAAATAAATTTAATAATATTTACAGCAGCATTTGTACAGCAGCATTTGCTTTATATTACAATAATTTAATTGAAGAAAGACACCCCTAAGGCAAATTACATCCCTCTCCAGCCAAAGCTTTTTTCATATTAAAAGAGAGGTTAATGAGGAGTCCCCAAGGGAAAGATAACAGCTAATAATGTCGATAGTCTATCTCAGGTTACACAAAAAATCTTTGCCCTCAGCTGCCGTTATTTGTATTGCTGCGTCTAAGGTTCGTGGACGTCGCCTAAGACTCTGTGTTAGAAGCTGTAAAAGCATAGAATAAAAACGCTCCTTGTCCGGCTGCCAAATTTTTAAAGAATGATAAAAATGGATATGAGTTATGCTCCTCACACATAAGCAAGCCTAAAACGAACTTTGAAATAGGTGCACTAGTACCTAAATTAAATCTCTTGTTAAGAAAGCTATCTACAAAGTAATCTCAGACAAATGGGAGGACATACATCTCAAACAAAATCTCCAAATAATCTCTTAATACTTGTCTTGCATAATGTTATATATTAATCTCATGAAAATAATCTTGATAACACTGTGTGTATGTGCACTTTGAAAGCTGTGATAAAGGAGGACATTTCCGAGTGACCTAAAGAATCCTCGTGATTTTGACTCGATGATAGTAACAGAACTTTTACGTCGCGGCAGTCAAGGAAAATGCGCTCTGCGTTTTGTGTACCTGCCGAGTTGCCGGAAAGGTGACAGTCTGAAGGTCCTAGTCAACAAAACAGCATCTTTCCTTTTTGGGGTGCACAAGCAGAATGCCGTGGACCAAGCAAGGAGTGATATTTTTTCCATTAGTTGAAAATAGTGTCTTTTTTCCTGGGGTCTCATCTTTAAAAGTAATTATGGTAAGTTAAAATATTTAAAATGCCACAAAATTGTTCGAGTGTTTAAAATGCTACAAAATAGTTTGAATTTGGAAAATTTGCCTTACAGTGAAAGGGTGGCAGTCTGTTTGGCGTGTCCAAGGTGAGGTAACGGGAAGACTTGGCCATAGCTGCTAATTACCTGTCTGTGGAAAAGCTCGCTAGCAATGGGAAACGGTCTTTGCGTTTCCCAAGAGGTCAGGCAAGGAGATCACCTTGCGGGTCCAAATCTGTGCTGTGGTGTGCGGGGAGGGGGCGGCGGCCAGGGCTTGGGGCTCGCGTGGAGGCGGAGGCGCCAAGGCTTGCAGCCTCCGCACGGAGCCGGCGGCGTCGACGCTGCCCTTTGCCAGCTGCTGCCTCTAAAAAGCTGGATCTACTAAGATATTTCATTAATCTTTGTGCTTCTTTACGCTTTCTAAACCATGCCAATTTTTAAATGAAATGC